CCAGGCCCCAAATTCTGGGCCCTCCCTGGGTGGGTCTGGGGGGGTCTGGGGCTCACCTTGGCCTGGTACTCTTTGATGAAGGGGTGGGACCTGTGAGCATCCTTCAGCTGGGACAGATAGCGGTTTGTCACCTGTGGGGGAGATGAGACTGGGTTAGCTGAACATGGGGACCCCGTGGCTCTGACCAGCAGGGGTAGGGTGAAACAAGGGCTGCCAAGGGACTCCCTGGTAGAAGCTCTGGGCTCCACGCAAACCTTCCATCACCCCACCCCGGAACAGTGCCTGGAAGAGCTTGGCACATGAATGGGGGATGCACCGAGGTTCACAGGAGCAAGCCTAGCAGTGACTGAGCCCTGGGAGAGGGTAGAAGGCCAGGAGGAATGGAAGGCAGGGTATGGAGTTGGTGAGAGAGCTTGAGGTACCCAGAGGCCTGGGCGCTGAAACCTGGGGCCCCAGCAGAGCCTTTGCTGCCAGCCTTGCCCGACCCACCAGGCCCAACCTTGACCGTACAGGGCTGGGACATCTGTCTGGCTGTCTCCCTGAGACTAGGAGTCTGGGGCTGTTTCTGGGGCAAGTAGGAAGATCATCTCATCTGTCCTGCACCATCTCAGCCAAGACTGCCTGAAGGCCTTTCTGTAAGAGCCAGTGAGTAACTGCCACGCAGCCCTGGGCAGGCCCCTGGCTAGCTGGGACAGTCACGTAAATGAGTGGTGCCCCAGAATCTTCCTCCCTCCTCACTCTCAGACATTGCTCCTTTTCCATCCTCTTGCCCACCCCCCACTGAGGTGGCACAAGCTGGAATCCCAGTCTGAGTGCCCTCTGAGCCTCGGCCCACTTGTCTATAGGACCTGTGGGAGCAGGTGACCTACGACCCTGGCCCTGGAAACCAACCGCAACGCCAGCTTCTCAGGGACCCTCAGTGATGGCAACTGCATCCACTTGTGGGAAGTGAGTTTTTGTCCACACCCCAGGCCAACCCTGAAGTCCAGACCCTAAGGCCCTGAGCCTTCTCTGGAAACGAGGCCACACCAGAGATCCCTGCCTGCCTTAGGCTAGCACCATGGGCCAGACAACCCTCCTGCACCTGGCTGGGGGAAGGGACCTACCTCAGGGGGCTTGCCCAGGTGCTGGGACAGGACGATGAGGTTGATGAGCGTCTCTGGGTGGCTGCTGTCCTGGAAACGCAAGGGGATACCAGGCGAGTAGGGTCAGCAACTCTAGGCCCTAGAATTGGCCTGCTCACCTCCCTCTAGGGCAGGATGATGCCTCCCCCTCCACTGCCCTGGGGTGAGGACATGACCTATAGGTCACACCCTCAGAGGCAGGGCAGGGCCAAGGCTGCAAGACCCTGAATGCTCCCCACGCTGGCCACTCTGCAAGATGGTGACCTCAGGGCCCTCCCTCCTGCCCCCACCTCACCTCCCTACGCCAGCTACTTCCTTGCTGAGCTTGTTGCTTCATCGGCAAACCAGACTGAGACAGGGCCCCCTTGCCTATCACAATTTGAGAAGAGCCTATTTATACTAAGAATCTCAAAGTAACAAACCCCAGCCAAAGGCAGCCTCAGCTCTGCCACAGCCCCGCTGTTATTCCTGCTAGAGGATGAGGTCTGAGACCAGAGGCAGACACCGCCCACCCCGCCTGCTCCCTGGAGGCCTTGGCAGGAAGCTGCCAGGAAATTACCAGAATCTCCAAAAGGGTGACGTCACGTCACCCGCCCATGCTGGGCTCTGAGACACAGGGAATGCTGGGAACTGGCGGCTGCTGCCTGGGCCAGGAACCTCATCCAGAGGGGAGCCCTGCCTGGGCACTTGAGGCAGAAATTCAACACCCAGGAGGCGCAGTGCCACAGGTTCAAGGGGCTGCATGGATGCTGGTCTGCAAAGACCCAGCTCCACCCCAAGCTGCCCTTCTTTGTGGAGACCCAGCTTCTCCTGGGTATAGGGTACTCTGGCAGGACGAAGTAGCTCCATGTGTGCAGCCTGAGGACATCAGCCCATAAGAGGCACCTGACTAACATCCTTTTGGCCCATCCCCGATCTGCAAACAACCTGATAACTTGGCCCCTTGCAGAGATAAACAGGGAGAAAGCTTCCTCCTGTTGTCCGTTTCTTATCATATTAAAAGATGTTTTCCAAAAATGGAAAAAACTTTGATGTCTTTTCCAGTTATAAAACAGTGAAAGATCTTAGATGTTGGTGATGAGAAGACAATTGTGGCCACCCCAGAGGATGGCGCTCTTGGTCCCTCTTCTTGACAGGACCCAGGCACTGCCTCTTGTCTGCAGCCTGCTATCCCCTCCCTCAAATAGTGGGTGTCTTCCGAATACAGACACAGATGAGGGGTCACACTGAGGTTCCCAGGCCAGGCAGCCAAGGTGAGAGGAAGGAAGCGCTGATGCACACGTCTGCTCAGCTCAGGCCGACTCAAGCCCTGGCTGACTGGGTCCTCCCATTTCCAAGAGAAGCCGGAATCAGGATTTTTGCAATCAAGATTTTTAGCTGATTTGGCATTAAAATTGCCATGTGGCCACATGGCAGGCTTGTGTCACCTGCCATCCTCTCTGAGAGCCCCGGGGAATGAGCTGGGCCTGCCCTACCTTGTCTAGTGCCTCCTGCAACACGCCCTCGGCGGCCTCCCAGCGGCCCTGGGCCATGTGGCAGGCCGCCTGTCCATTGAGCAGTAGCAGAGTAGATGAGCACTTGTCGGCCATTTCCTGGAAGATGTAGTAGGCGTCTTGCAGCTTCTCGCCACCCTGTAGGGACAATTTTGACATCACTGCTTTGTCATCCTGCTGTCCGGGCCCACTTCTGTCCTCTCCTTCACGGAGCAGAGGGATTCCAGCACTTTGTAGATGCGATCCCGGCATGGCCAGCCCACAGCAGGCTCTCCTCAGATACTGTTCCTGTGCAGAGACCCCCCAATATCTCCTCAGATACTGTATCTCCTCAGATACTGTTCCTGTGCAGACCTGGGGCCAAAATGACACCCGGCCACCCTAAGCCTCAGTTTATGGACTTGAAGCTGGAATTTGCAAAGAGTTCACATGGGTGTCCAGGCTGGGGTCAAGTGGAGACCACTGGGTCGCATGGCTTACCAGAGTTGGCCTCTGCTCTGGGACCAGCAGCCCTGACCCTGCCCAACCAGGTTCTGAGTTCTGTTTTCCTGCTAATGATGCAGGATCACACTCACAGGGGAGCATGAGACCAAAGTGTGCTTGTGAAAATAGGCAAGCCTACCAGAGAGAGCCATCGGGGTTTATTCTACTAAACTGAACACATACTGGAAATCCTCCTGGGTGAGGCCTCGTTCCCCAAGGGCAGTGCAGACATATGCAGATGAGAAATACATCTTAAAAGACTCACACAAAAGGGCAACTCAAAGAAGGGAAGCCAAGTGCCAAAAGCTAGAAAAGGGGTTGTTGCTAAGAGATGGGGGACAGGGGTGCCCAGGCATGTGGGGAGGGGCTGGGCACGGGGGAAGGTGCCAGGACACCAGCAACTGCCCAGTGCCAGAAGCCCAGAGAACAAACTGAGCAGCAGCCAGGCCCAGGATCAGACCCTGGAGGAGGGGGCAATGCCAGGCTGGCCTGCCCAGAACGTGGGGAGAATCATCTTGAGTCTGGCTGGGGCCCCCAGTTTGTTCAGACTCTGGCCAAGCCACTCAGCTGTGAGAAACCCAGAAAGGGATCGAGGCTCAGGAAAATGGGAAACATGCCAGGGGTGACCCCAGTTGGGGGACACCTCCAGGGGATGGGCCCCTGTGTGAACAGAGAACACCACATATGCACTCCCCCCACAGGAAGAGCAGTGCTGGATGCAAGGAGCTCCCTGATGTTCCTGTTCCCCCAGCTCCCCTGCAAGGCCAGGGGCTTACCACAGCCAGGTTGACCCAGGCAGTGGCCAGTTGGGTGAGGGTGGCATCCTCGTCTTGGTCCTGCATTTTCTTCAGCTCCTTCCTGGGGGTGGAGAAGAGAGGTAGGAGGGAGCCAAGTGACTTGGCCGGTACCCCTCACATCCTCATTCCTTGCTCGTGGAGCACAAACATGTGTTGGCTCACAGGCTCTCACCCAGCCGCCCCCAATCCTCGACTCAGACATGCCGGCTCTGCCTCCCACTTGTGAAGCACACACCAATCCTTCAGGACGGCCTCTGCCACCTGCATCACAGAGGGAAACTGAGGCATGGACAGCACTGCCCCTCTTCCCTTCAGGGAAGGTTGAGTAAGGATGGTTGTCACCCCAATGGACTGGAATGATATAATGGATAAACAATTGTGCCACCACGTTCTGGGCCTCAGGGAGAGTTCGGGAACAGTCTCCATGCTGAGCGCCCCCTTGAGGCCAGAGGCCTGGCTTCCAGAAAACATGAGATCCCGACATGACCTTGTCTCTGTTCACCCCTGATGAATTAGGCCCCGCCCAGCAGCCCCAGATGCTTACCGGGCAAGGTCCAGGCGATCCAGCT